GCCGCCATCTTGGTTGGGTTAATTTGCATATAGTCACTCTGATTGGCTGGTGGGCGTGGCTTAAGGCATAGCAAAGGTATGGCCAATTTGCATGTTTGTCTTTTATTAGTGTAGATGATTATATTCCAATAATGTATAAGCACATATGTTGTTGTCAGTGTTGAAACAATGTACGATTGTTTTTATTAACTATTGAAACAAAATGACACTGGAAGCACTCAAACATATTCCCTCTCAGAATAAAGATCATCAGTTTTATTCTAAGAAATGAAAGCAGTTTCAAGATCCTATGTTGCAATCACTAGTTAGTGACACCACCATTTTCTTATAACAATTGCAGTTGACACTCTGGCCACCTCATGGAATATGTGTTCCCTGGAGAGATAGCCTGGCCTCCTTCAGTCTCCAGAAACATCCTGTAGTGACTGAAGCTGAATATTGTGCCTAATGACTCGAATTGCTAGGCATGTACCACCATCTTTCCCTTTTCCCTGCAAAATAATGTGCTCACTTGCTGAAGAACATGATGAAGAAAATAATATTAAAAATTAGGAACTTAAGGTTACAATCTTCCCTAAACCTCTGTCCAAGCCAGGTATGCCCGAAGAGGCTTTTGGGTCTAGGCAAACACCCATGGACCCGTGTGTTTTCAGTTATACGGTATATACAAAAGAAAACACAGCAGAGACTCACATTCTGCTCTGCTTTTGGAAGAAAGAAAACTCTATCTGTTTCCAAGGAAAAATTGGAAAGCTTTTCTCTGTGAATTCATGACAAAATGATCCTATGCCCAATGAATCAGAAAAATGGTCTTTACTAACAAACTAATGTAATTATCAAAAGTTAGATAAAAAAGTTGGATAAGAAAAAAAGACAAACTGAAATAAATAGTTTAGACTCAAATCACAAAATTGCCTAATTATATTCATTATTAGTTTAATGTCTGTTATACAGAAACTTTCATAGAGCAGGTCTAGTTAAATATACCAAGCTGAGACAAAAAGTATCATAGACAAACCACTGAATTGTATACCCAAGGGGTAAGCATCTGTCCCGATGATCTTTCTCATTAATTATAAGTAAAGCACAAACTGAGATTGAGTTTAGATATATTAATTGCAAAAACTGCCTTATAATAGGGTGTCCTTATCAAGCAGACTCTACAGAATCAAATTCTGGACTGAATACCAGAATCCCCAACTCCCCCAAAAGGTGCATGATTTGCGATCCTGTCTCAGATCAATGTACTTGGAGAAATCTCCTTCCCAGGCAGCAGGCTGATGTCTCTCTCGGACTTGTGCTGACCTCATCTTCACTGTAAAGACAGTTTCATGCCGAGTGCCTTGTGTCATAAAAATGAAAGCACGGTTGCTTTACGCCTTGCTGCTGGTGTTTTTCCCCTGCCTTTGTCCCCTGTTCAAATTTCCTTCTCTGGTGGTGTCTCTCCCTGAATGAATTTTGAGAGGGGCCTAACCAGGATGCCTTCTAATGATCCCTGGGGCACCTACCCTTGCTTTTCAGCTGTTCTGCTTTGCAATCTTCCTCAGGACTCAAAGTTGATCCAGAACCCACCAGAAGACGAAGAGGCAAGAGAGCCAGAGACTGAACAAAGCTTACTCGTCGCTAGTTATTTTTCTACTCCTTTAAAAAATTCATTTCCAGTATGTAACACTTCTTATAAAGTAGGCTAAAATTTTTCAGCCCTTTCAGAACTTCTTTTCAAAGGTTTTGACTCCACAAATCAGGAAGATTACAGTAATTCAGGCTTAACCTCCCCCCCCCCCCAAAAAAAACAACTAAAAGGAAATTTAAGTTTGATTCAGCTTGTACTAAATAACTTGAAAACCAATGAACCAGACTCTCAGAACTAGTGGATACAAATTAAAGACTATTTAAGAAATCTATTTGATAATATTTTTACCAACATCTTCATTAGTTGTATTAGAATATAAATAGATAAAATGCAAGAAAATAAACCACACGTAAAGGGCAAAATAGTTTTCATAGGTAGGAAAAAGGACTACATTACTAATGGGAAATGTCTACAAAAATGAGTGTATTTTACCTGTCGTCATCTTGTGAGAATCGCCTCTGCAAATCCTCTTTATTCCACTGTTCTTTTTCTTTCCCTTGCTCATGTATATCTTGTGTTTTTTCCTCGTCTCCTGATTCTCTGGTTTTCTCATGATTAGACGTTTTTGTAATCTCGTTCCCTTTCACATGCTCATTAATTCTTTCTTCCTTTACCTCATGAACTATCTCTTCATGCTTATCCCCTTCTTTCCCTCCCTCTTCTACTCCCTTTGGCCTTTGAAAGCAACACAAATTGAAGGAAGGCATGCAAATAAACACAAAAAAGGAAAGAAAAAGTAAGAAAAAATGCATACAAAATTAAACAGAAAGGTAAAGGAACACTATGAAAACATAAATAACAATGACATCTTTTAAATGTTGAAACTTTTTTTTCCAGTATATCAGAGAAGCGAAAGAAAAAGTAAGAAAAAATGCATACAAAATTAAACAGAAAGGTAAAGGAACACTATGAAAACATAAATAACAATGACATCTTTTAAATGTTGAAACTTTTTTTTCCAGTATACCAGAGAAGCGCCTATGTAAGCACCACAATCATAATTGTTCTTTAAATCCTATTTTCCTGCTACAGAGTTGCATGGAAAAAAGTTGTGGTCTCCTCATTATAGTTTATTTTTTTATATACATAGGAGTAAAAATAATTTAGCTCAGGTGCCCATAAACTCTATGGGCATGCATATACAAACATACATATTGCATTTATAAATTTTGAGAGGCTGAAGACTTTTTCCATGTATTTATAACAGTTTCAGGAGGATAAGGCGTATCCTACTTAAAAAGTAATATTTTTCTGAATCCCTGAAATATACTCATCTGGGTGAAAAAACCCTCCAAATACTATTTTTCACATTTCTTAGAACATTAAGATATTCAAATTTTCACAAAACCATCACTTTAACCTCAATAAATGTGTAATAGAATTACTTTTTTAAAATAGAAAACATTAAAAAACAACTAACGATATTATTTCAAGTAATCTAGTAAGAAAGGTGTTGTACGTTCTATGAAACTTGCCTGTGCAAGAAGTTTGAAAGGCAGAGCAAAATATTATAAAAAAATAATACGTACAGAAGTTCTTATTGCCAAATGGCACACATTAGCCCTTAGAACAGAGGATTTTACGTTTATCCAAAGAAACATAAAGACCTTGTCATACACATTGAGAAGCGTTTCCTGCGAAAGTCCCTTACTCACCTGATTTTCTTGCTTCCTCTGGGCCGTTCTGATTGGACGGACATGTAGCTTGTGCTGCTGAAACGAGAAGCACTACTAGTCCTGGAAACCGCAGATATATCACTTACATCACTGTCCGAAGATTTAGTGGAAATATTATCTGCCCCTCTATGAGGATCCCATCCTGATCGATACTGTTAACACAGATTGACAAATACGCAGAAGTTGTCAGTATTACCATACAGAGCAATTATTAGCTTCTCCTATTTCAGCACTTTATTGTCCACAGAGGATACTGCAAAACCCCCACTCAGTTGCATATAAAAACAAAAGTGAATGGCAATTATCCTAAAAGAAAAATTCAATTTGCGTGAAACCTTTGTTTTTCAGCACAGGCAATTAGAGCATTTTTACCACACCCCAATGAAGGCCGTTAAAATAGTTTCATCACAGCAATGGCCTCAGGGAAGGACATTTAGGTAAAATCTGGGAAACAAACATTTGGCTTCATATTAGGAAATAGAATATTTTTATTTCTGAATAAAATTTGAAAAAAAAGTTATAATAAAGTTGCCACTGTGACTTATTGAAACCCATTTTCTCTTTAATCCATTATGCTTCATTGAAAACCTAGAGATAGTACAAAACCTAATGATTAAAACACTAACTTTTTCTAGAAAAGCCAAGAGAAAAGAGAAAGTTTAATGTCTGAAAGATTACTGGAATTTTGATGAAACCTAGAAATACTAGAAAAAAGTCATTATTATTTACAATAGTTCAAACTTCCTGGAATGAAATAATCAGTTATGTGGCACAGCCAGGGTGCAGGGTGTTCTGGGTGTTCAAACATTCTGGTAAATGAAAAGCCATCATAAATGCTTTATGTTAATGACATTGGGATATAAAAAAAATAGTAGATTCTGGAGTCTGGACAACCTGGAGTAAGGACAACCTCTTACTAACCGGGTAAAATTGAGCAAATACTTTAACCTTTAAAACTCTGTTTAAAGTAACTAGTTCCCCAGTGCAGATTCATGCACATTGAAAGGAAATTAATTAGAAGGTGGCCAGTGGGGCAGGACTGGGTGAGATGGGCCGGACACACTCTGGAGCCAACCTCCCGAGGTGCCTCCCCAGCCGGTCGCACCTGGGGCAGCGCTGCAGCTCAAAGGGTATCTGCGGAGTGAGCAGGTCTCTCCGACAGGTGGGGTCCCTCGGCCTGGCCTGCGGGGATTGGGCTGAAACTGGCTCTCTGACATCCCCTGGGAGGTCCCGGATTGCGAGAGGGTGGCACTCCGGAATCAGGCTTCCTCCTTTCTAGTTCTGGGGTGTGTCACCTGAGAACCGCAGCTGCCAAGTCACCGCAGCTTAGGGGCTCCTGCATTGAGCGTCTGACCCCTGGTGGTCAGTGCGTGTCATACCTACTGGCCGGTTGGTCGGTTGCTTAGCCTTTTATATATATAGATAGGGATAATATCTTTTTTTTCAGGGTTGTTTTGAAAATTAGAAATACAGTCTATCCTTGAACAACACGGAGGTTAGAAGAGTTGACTCCTGAGCAACTGAAAATCATCATATAACTTTGACTCCTTTAAAACTTAACTACTAATAGCCTACTGTTTACTGGAAGCCTTATTGATTACATAAACAGTCAACCAATACATATTTTGTATGTTAAATGTATTATATACTGTATTTTTACAATAAGTAAGCTAGAGAAAATACAATGTTATTAAGAAAGGAAGAAAAAATACATTTACTGTATTTGTTGAAAAAATCTGCATATAAGTGGATCTGAACAGTTCAAATCAGTGTTGTTCAGGGTCAAATGTAATACATGTCTGGCATCTGACATAATGTAAAAAAATTCAGCCAGTATTATTACTGTCCTGATGGCTATTACTGGGTTAAGAGCATATCTGCTAATAGATTTTTCTTTAATTATATGTACTTCAAACATATACTGAAATATCTGTATCTGTCAACTTTGCAATAGAGATTTTTCTAACCATAGAAAGTGTTCACAAAGCCTTAAAAAATTTAAATATTGAAAAATTTTACTTTAAATGAAAATGTCCTCAGCCATAGTCAGCCATTGCCTAGAATAGCATTTCAATGGGTAGGTCAACATTAAC